GGTGGTGGTGGTGCTGAGGGCGCAGTCGTCGGCGAAGTTCATGGACGGTAGTTGCGGATTCACGCGACCGGAAGCGCATCCGCCAGTGGTTGAGGAATTGGCCGTCCGTCCTGTAGGTGGTGCGGATCCCGGGGCGTTCGTAACGGCAAGGGTCCACTAACACGGCAGAGAACATGGGACTGAAGAGGTGGGCGTGAGGACGCAACCCAGCTTCACTCTGTTGGTCACTATAAATGCCTCCGAGACAGCTCCATTGTCCGTGACTCGTGCCATCAAGCCATCGTGGAACTGGCGTACCATCTGAATGAATCGCTCGGGACAACCGAATTTCTGCATGATTTTCCAGTCTTGTGCGCTTCACCGTATCGAAGGCCTTTATCATATCCACGAATGTAGAGTAGAAGTGGGTCAGCATCTCCTGATACTTCTGCAGTTGACGGCCGGCGAAGATCATGTCCGTGGTCCCGCGATGACGGCGGAAGTCGTACTGGGTTTCCGACAGACCTGGTTTCAGATGTTGGTTCAGGTAGTTGAGGGGAATACTATCGAAGATTTCCCAGCGATGTTTAGCAATGAGAGGCCTCGATAGTTGTCGCAGTTTGGCGGTTACCATTCTGCTTATAGAGATGGACGTTTGTGACGTCCTTAAAATCCTGCGGCATCTCTCCTTGGTACCACATCTCCTGGAAGAGCGCCGTCAAATGATCCATGAGTTGGGTGTCATCGCGATTTTAGATCTCAGCGGGGATCGCGCCCGATCCGGGCGCTTTCCCGCTGTAGAGCTGCTGCACGACCCTGATGGTTTCGTGGCGAGAGGGCTGGAGGTCATGGTCGGCGTTGGTCTCCACTTGAGGCAGATGTGCTACAACGGCGTTGGGGATGCTGGAGGGGCGATTGAGGAGGCTTCGGAAGTGTTCGGCACATCGCTGAAAATATGTGTCTTCTCAGTGAGTAGCGTACTTTCGTCGGCGTTGAGAAGAGGAGCAGCTGCTTTAGTTAGCGGACCGTAAACAGCCTTGATCCCGGAGTAGTAATTCTTCTTTTCATTGCGGTACGCGAACTCTTGGATCTCTTCGGTCCTGAGAGCCGTTCAAGCGTCATGCATCTCTCGCAGCCGCTGTTCCACAAGGCGGCGACAACGGTAGAAGGCTGGTTTGCTGTCGGCTGTAGGACGGTTGAAGTACGTTTTGTGCAGGTTGTTCTTCTCGGAGAGCAGGTGGCTGATAACGGCGTCGTCATCGAACGAGTCATGTTGTTGGCGTCATGCGTGACCGAGGACAGCCAGGGCCGTGGACTGGACTGTGTCCCGCAGTTGGCACCATTGGTTCTCCAGAGGGAGATTTTCGTCAACGGTGGCGGCGGTGGTGGCGACTGGAAGGCTTGCTAACTATTGAGCTTGCTCTTTGCTTAAATGGAGATAGTGAGCAGGCAGAGATAACAATCAGTATTCCACATTCCTGGGTGTCGTTGGTCTTGAGATTTTCTGCGAGACTGTGGGCGAATACGCATCTTGGAGTTGACGAGACGATGGTCGGTCCACCCGTCGGCACCCGAGATCGCTTTTGTCACCATCACGTATCGCTGGTCTCGCCTCCCGATGAGGACATAGTCTAGCAGGTGCCACAGTCACGACCAATGATTCCTCCAGGTGGCCTTCTCTCTCACGGAGAGGCGGTTGTAGGTGTTTGTAAGGATGAGGCGGTGTTTTGAGCAGGTCCGTAGGAGCCGCAAACCATTGTCATTGGAGCCGTCGAGATCATGTGGACTCAGCACCCCTCTCCGTGCAGCATGATTTGTACAAACGCGGGCTTTGAAGTCACCAAGGTCAATCAACTATCCGTCTTCGAAACAGGCACCAGAAGGGCGTGCAGGTCCTCGTAGAATTTGTCCCTTGCAGCGTCAGGGCTGGTCATCGGGGGACCGTAGACGCTAATGATGGTGGCGAATTTGCCTCTCAGGAGAAGCAGATGGAGGCTCATCAGGCGATCGTTGATACCCTTCGGCAGAAAGGGCAGTCATCCCACGATGTCATTCCGGATGGCAAAGGCGACGTCCGCGTCCCGTAGCTCTGCCCTGGAGCAACCGTTCCAGAAGAAGTTGTAGCCGGCACCCACCTCTTCCAGCTGGCCTTGTTTGGAGAACAGGGTCTTACTGAGTGCAGCGATGTCTGCCTTGTGGCGCGCCAGTTCGCGATCCCCTAGCACCGTCCTCCATTCTAGTGTGTTGTAACGAATATTCCAGACGGCCAGAGTGAGTGAACTCACCTTAACACTCTGCAGAATGGGGCGGTGGGGAGGAAGAAGAGGGGGAATGGATAGTGTGTTGTTTCGGATTTTATTGTTTCGACCGTGTGTTTTGTGTCTGCGGGTCACGGTCTACGTGCAGACGAAGTGAATCCCAGCGTTTGTTTAGGGCACCTCTTCTGGCCCCTTCCTCTCGAGGGGTTAAGCAGTGCTCTCCATAAATAGGGATGTTCAGTTGTCCCAGATGGCTGCTGAACTGCACTATGGGCCACGGCTTTTGTTGAGTGGAAGAACGACCCGAATTATCCTCTCCTTGACTGCGACATTGTTGTAGGACTTGAAAATGGGAAAGGGATGGAGGGAGGGTAGAGAGACGGGAAGCAGTGTTTTCCGGTCCCTCTCTGAACGAACTAGTTTCTGAAATATATAAGCGGTGAGCAAACAGATTCTAAGGAATGGCATTTAGTGTACAGCAAATACAAACAGAACCAACTAGACGAATGCAGGCAAAAATGAACAAGCAGAAGCAAAGGCAGAATGAGGAAATTCAATGAAACGGTATTTAGCCTACAACAAGGGTTGAAGGTACTGTTTTAGTCCGTCTCCCAGCGCACCAACACGCCACTCCACACAGCACGCACACAACGGGACGTACTGCGTGGACTGAGTGGGGGCGTCAATCAGCAGCCTTCCTATCTACGAAGTTTGACATGTCGGGATAGTCTCAGACTCAAGTCACCCGTGCAGCCGAAACCGCACGGGGACCGAGTCGAGATGAACACTTCCCACTTGCGTGGGATATGGCAGTTGGGTGCTTGTGATGGGTGAGTGTTGAGGTGGTGGTGACGGAGGGTGTGGTGTGGTGCAGCCGGCGGTTGTCTACCGCAGTAGTTCGTGGATGCACATGTGGACGGGTAAGCCCATGCGACGCGTGAAAGTGCGAGGGCAGCGTGGACAGTGGAGTCGAGTGTGGTGGGTTTAGGTTGGTGTTCCAGGCACTGTTTACCCAGTCTATGCGATGGATTCGCAAGTGACCGACCAGGCCGATGCGAGAGGTGAATGTGAGTGGACAGTGTGGGCATGAGAAGTCGGCGGTGTCGGTGTCGGCTGCAAAGGAGATGATGGCGGTGGTGATTGAGATGGGCACACGGGACGATAAAGTGAGGGTGGGGCTAGGCATGGTGAGTGTGTTGGATGTGGTGGGTGTGCCGGGACTGCGGTCGGTTTCGCTCTCACGGATGCGCATGTGGCCCAGTGGGCCCATGCCGTGCGTGAAAGTGCGGTAGCAATGGAGTCGAGTACGGGGGGTAAATTTGGGTGCTCCAGGCACTGGTTCGCCAGTCTCTGTGCGATGGATTAGAAGTGACCGACCAGCCCAGACGAGAGGTGAATGTGCGTGGACAATTTGGGCAGGAGCAGTCCTCGTCCTTACCTCTTGAGTCGGAGGTTTCAGGGGTGGTGTCTGTTGTCGTATCAGGTTTGCGGATGTGCGTGACAGCCACAAGAACGGCCGTTGTTTTGGCAGTATAGGAGGAGGAGGGGGAGGAGGAGGAAGAGGAGGATGATGATGGAAGTTGTGGTTCAGAAGAATTGTCAGAGTTAGTTGGCGGTGGAGAGGACGAGGTAGAGACGGGCGGGGGGACGATAGTTGGTGCAGTCCGAGAGGCGCAGTTGATCCGAAGATGTCCAACATGTCCGATTCGATCCCGGAATGTCCGCTGACATCGAGGGCACGTTGGAGGCGGTTGTGCGGCGGCGTTGCGTACTGGGCGAAGTTGTGATTTGCGGGCTTCGCGTTTCACTTTGGCGGCAGCGATGCGGTTGGTCTCATAGATAGCAGTGCCCGTCTTCACTGTTCTCCTCCATGTCGGACGATCGCGAGCGAGCTCTTCCCAGTTGGTCGTGTTGATTTGCAGACGCTTCAGGGAGGACTTCAGGGTATCCTTGTAACGGCGAATCTCGCCTCCTTGACGGCGAGAACCTGTCGCGACGTCTCCGTAGAAGAGTTGTTTGGGTAGTCGCTCGTCGTCCATGCGACTAGGTGGCCGCTTCAACGCAGCTGAATTTATCTCAGCATGGTTTAGATGCTGAGGATTCCCGTTCGCTTCGGTACATCAGTGTCAGGGATTCGATCCTGCCAACTCAATCTCAGGATGCAATGAAGACAACTGAGGTGGAGATGGTTGAGTCGGCGTGCCTGCTTTGTGTACACTGTCAAAGTCTCCGCTCCGTACTGCAGCATCGGCAGGATGACGGCCTTGTACAGCTTCAGCTTCGTGCTCATTTGGAGATCATGACGATTTCAAACTGTGCTTTGACGGCAACCGAAGGCTTAGCTAACTTTCAAAATGCTGTGAGCGACCTCGTCATCGATGTTGGTGCTGCGGCAGAGAGTACTGCCCAGGTACGGGAAGTTCTTCACCACTTGCAGTTGGGTCCCATTCAAGCTGATTTGCGGCGCTTTGGGGGGTGTAGCTGAGTTGGGTGGCGGTTGATGCATCACCACCGTCTTCTGCGTATTGATGACCAGACCGAAGTTCTCGCAGGCGGCGGAGAAAAGGTCCATGCTCCGTTGCATCTCCTCTTCCGAGGTGGTGTTCAGGGCGCAGTCGTCAGTGAAGAGGAGTTCGTGAACGGTGGTTGTGGATACGTACGACTGGAAGTGCATCCGCCGTTGATTCAGGAGGTGACCGTCCGTCCTGTAGGAGATGCGGATCCGGGTGCGTTCATCATGGTAGGTGTCCATCAGCATGACAGAGAACATAAGACTGACGAGGGTGGGCGCCAGGACGCATCCCTGCTTCACTCCTTTGGTCACTGCGAATGCCTCTGAGACAGCTCCGTTGTCCGTGACTCGCGCCATCATGTCGTCATGGAGCCGACGCACCATCTGAATGAATCGTTCCGTACAGCCGAACTTCTGCATGGTCTTCCACAGTCCTTCACCATTCACCGTGTCGAAGGCTTTCGTCAGGTCCACAAAGGTAGAGTACAGGTGGGACCACATCTCCTGGAACTTCTCCTGTAGTTGGCGGGCGGCGAAGATCATATCCGTGTTCCCACGATGGCGACGGAAGCCGCGTTGGCTTTCCGGCAGAAGGCCCTGCTCCAAATGATTATTCAGGCGATTGAGAAGGATTCTAGAGAAGATCTTTCCGGTGATGTTCAGCAAGGAGATGTCACGTGATTGTCGCAGATTTGGCCGTTCCCTTTTTGCTTGTATAGGTGCACGATTGTTGTGTCCTTGAAATCTTGCGGGACTTCACCTTGATGCCACATCTCCTGGAAGAGCGCAGTCAAGCGGTCCATGAGTCGGGGACCTCCGTGCTTGTAGACCTCAGCAGGGATTGCTTCCGATCCGAGTGTTTTCCCGCTGGAGAGCTGCTGCACGGCCCTGATGGTTTCCTGGAGAGATGGAGGGAAGTCGAGGTCCACGTTGGCCTCCACTTGCGGCAGGCGGTCGATAGCGGCGTCGGAGATGGTGGAGGGGCGGTTGAGGACATCTCGAAAGTGCTCGGCCCATTGCTACAGGATTTGCGTCTTCACAGTCAGGAGAGTGTTGCCGTAGGTGCTGAGGAGAGGAGCAGTGCCCTTCGTCGGCGGACCGAGACAGCTTTGATAGCGGAGAAGCTTTTTCACTCGTCCGGTCCGCGTAGCCTTGGATCTCCTCAACTTTGCGAGCAGTCCAGGCGTCCTGCATCTCGCGTAGTCGTTGCTAAAGTTGGCGGCGACTGCGGTAGAAGGCAGCTTCGTTGTCCTCAGTGGGGTGCTCTACGTAAGCTTTGTGTAGACGGCTCTTCTTAGCAAGGAGATTTCTGATGGCAGCGTCGTTGTCGTCGAACCAGTCCCGGTGTTGGCGGGGAGCGCGACCGAGGACGGCGAGCGCAGTTGGTACCAGCGGTTCTCCACGGAGGCGTTCTCGGCAGCGGCGGCGTCGGCAGCGATAGGAAAGTTGTCTAGCCGTTGAGCTAGCTCATTGCTGAAATGAAGATGGTGAGCGGGCAAAGACAACAAGGCAACATTCAGCTTACCTGGGGGTCGCTTACCTTGTGGTCTCCTGCGAGGCTGTAGGCGAATACGCATCTTCGAGATGATGACGCGATGGTCGGTCCACCCGTCAGCACCCGCGATCGCCTTCATCACCAGCACGTCCTGCAGATCTCGCCTCCGGACGAGGACGTAGTCCAGCAGGTGCCACTGACGCGACCGAGAATGCCTCCGGGTGGCCTTCTCTCGCTCCGGTAGACAGAAGAAGGTGTTCGTCAGGATGAGGCGGTGTTCTGCGCAGGTGCGGAGGAGCAGCAGACCGTTGTCGTTGGAGCCGCGGAGACCGTGGAGACCCAGCACTCCTCTCCAGGCAGTATGGTCTGTGCCGACGCGGGCGTTGAAGTCACCAAGGACAATCAACTTGTCCGCCTTCGACACAGTGACCAAGAGGGCGTGCAGGTCCTCGTAGAATTTGCCTCTTGCGGCGGCGTCGGGGCTGGTCATCGTCAGAGCGTAGGCGCTGTTGATGGTGGCGAATTTGCCCCTACCCCGGAGGAGAGGCAGACGGAGGCTCATCAGACGGTCGTTGATTTTTGCTGAAGTACTTGACTACTTGACCTTTGACAACTTGTCACGTTTGTTTTACTTTAGCATTTGTTTTAACGTGACGAAGACTCCGCCGCTTGTAAGCTTCGCGCCGCTTTCATGCTCTCTGGTCAGGTCGTTGCACATTTTGAATATTAACTTTATTCACTTACTGGCCTTCTTACCTCCCTCCGTTTATGAGGTTAGTAAGCCGTAGTTCGTTAGTTCGCGGGAATGACATAACGTACGTCATTGATGACTCCCGACGTTAGTGCAGACTTAAGTTCTTTCCTTCTGTAACATTTAATGACATTTAACGTCCTGTATTTATTTGTTAAATTTTAGTTCATTCACATTTCCCGCTAACCTTTTCACGATATTGTACTGCCTATATTTTGCTTATTATGTCTTCCTCAACTCAACAACCTGATGTTCCTGCCGAGTCTGTTCATGCCGTCCATTTTACTTTGCCTGATTTCTGGCAACACGCCCCTGAATGTTATTTTATCCGCATTGAGTCAGCCTTTTACTCCGCCAACATTACGAAGGAGTTTTCGAAATACCACAAACTTGTGGAGGTTCTCTCTGCCAATATTATCTCACAAGTTTAACTCTTGTTAGTGAAACCCCCTGCAGACGCTCCCTATTCTGCTCTGAAGGCGGAAATCCTTCGTCTCAGTGCTGTATCTGACCGACAACGCTACCACCAGTTGATCAAGGAAGAATCACTGGGCGACCGAAAGCCCTCAGAACTTCTCCGACGAATGCGTACTCTCTTAGGAGACATGCAGGTCGACGAGAAACTCGTTAAAGAGATGTTTCTGGAGCGGCTGCCTGCAGATGTCCAAACGATTTTGGCATCCGGCTCGCAAGACCTTACACTTTCACATCTTGCTGAAATGGCAGACCAAATGATAGAGGTTCAACGGTTCCAGCCACCTTCCGTTGCTCAGATTTCCACATCCTCTTCAACGGTTAACGAGCAGTTACTGCAACAGATGTCGGCTATGGCGAATGAGATAGCCTCCCTAAAACTACAGCTAGCTCGCATTACCTGTAGTCGCTCACCCAGACGTCATCGTTCACGTTCGCGACCTCGCACAGCCAATCTGTGTTGGTATCACGCAAGCTTTGCCGCCAAGGCTCGCAAATGTTCTTCCCCTTGTTCATTTAACCCGAAACAGGGAAACCAGCCAGCCAGAGAATAGACGCGACCGTTTTCTCTGGCTCTCCCAGCTCTGGTCGCACCTTTTATGTCTACGACAATGTGACTCGCAGGCGTTTCCTGGTGTACACCGGAGCCCAAAGCAGCGTGGTTCCCCCCACTCCAGTTGACCGTCGCTGTCCCAGCCCTGGTCTACATCTCCAAGCTGCAAACTGTTCTCCCATTTCCACTTTTGGTAGTCGTTCCCCAACGCTAAACATTGGTTTACGTCGATCATTCTCCTGGATATTTGTGATTGCCGATGTGCCTCATGCGATCCTTGGTTCCGACTTCCTAGCCGAGTTTGATCTCCTTGTTGACTGCCGGCGTTCCTGTCTCCTCGACCGCACAACTGGTCTTTCTGTCCGCTGTCTTACACCCTTTAATGACTCCTGCAATTTATCTGTTCTGGACACAGGTATTGCTTGCCCATACCGAGACCTGCTCCTTCAACACCCCAACATAATCAAACCCAGTTTCGCAGTGGTGAGATCCAGCATGACGTTGTCCACCACATTCGCACCTCTGGCCCCCCAGTATTCGCACGGCCTAGACGACTGGCTCCGTCCCGTCTGCAAGCGGTGAAGGCCGAATTTGAGCACATGCTGCAACTGGGCATAATTCGGCCGTCCGAGAGTCCATGGGCGTCCCCTCTGCATTTGGTGTCCAAGGCGACATCAGACGACTGGCGGTCCTGTGGTGACTTTCGCGCCCTCAACAATGCGACCATCCCGGATCGTTATCCCGTCCCTCATCTTCAAGATTTTGCTGGAGCTCTTTTCGGCAAATCGGTTTTCTCGAAGATTGACCTTGTTCGGGCCTTCCATCAGATTCCTGTCGCTCCTGAGGATGTTCCCAAAACTGCCGTCACCACACCATTCGGCCTGTTCGAATTTATTCGCATGCCATTTGGTCTTCGCAATGTTGCCCAAACATTTCAGAGGTTCATTGACCGAGTCCTACGTGGTCTCCCGTTTGCGTACGCCTACATCCATGACCTCTTGGTGGCCAGTCGAAATGCCGAGGAACACAAAGAGCATCTTGCTTTAGTGTTTGACCGCCTCGATCAGTTTGGCATGGTCATCAACCCTTCGAAGTGTGTTCTGGGTGTGTCGTCCCTTGATTTTCTTGGTCACCATGTCGATGCACAAGGTTTGCGTCTCCTCTTTTCCAAGGTTGAGGCCATTCGTGACTTTCCTCCACCAACCTCCAAGCGTCAGTTGCAACGTTTCCTTGGCATAGTAAACTTTTATCGCCGGTTCCTACCGAACTGTGCCGGCCTTATGCTGCCACTCACCAACTTGCTCTCTGGTCCCAAGGGTCCCCTTGAGTTACGTGGCCACGCGCTGACTGCTTTTGAGAGAATAAAGACCTCCCTTGCTGATGCTACCTTGCTCGCTCATCCTGCTCCAGAAGCCCCATTATCCTTGATGGTTGATGCTACGACCGTTGCCGTAGGTGCAGTCTTCCAACAGCATATCAACGACTCGACCCGACCGTTGGCATTCTTCTCCAAGAAGCTTTCACCTGCCGAGACGAGATATAGCACGTTTGGCCGTGAACATCTGGCCATTTACCTAGCCGTAAAACATTTCCGACACTTCCTTGAGGGTCGTGACTTCACAATTTTCACAGACCACAAACAACTTACATTTGCCATCTGATCCCATTCTGACAAATATAACCCGAGAGAGCTTTCTCACTTGGATTACATCTCGCAATTCACCACCGACATCCGCCACATTGATGGCCCGAAGAATGCGGTGGCCAACATGCTGTCCAGACCTTCGCTCTCGGCGTTTCACCTCTCACACGGGATTGATCTTGGTGCTCTGGCAGCTGAACAACGGCGTGTTGGATGCCCTGGCGACGAGTCTATTGACAGTCTTCAATTAGTTGACGTCCCATTGACCACCGGCACTGGCACAATCCTTTGTGACGTATCGACTCTTTTCATCGCCCTTATGTGCCTGCCTCGATGCGTTGAGCTGTTTTTCAAACTCTCCGCGGACTCTCCCATCCTGGGATTCGAGCCTCACAGAAGCTCCTCACGGAAAGGTTCGTATGGCCTGGGTTGAACAAGGATGTGAAAGCTTGGACACGATCGTGCCTTTGCTGTCAACTTAACAAGGTTCAACGCCACAACAAGTCTCCATCGGGCACGTTCCCCAGCCCCGATGAACGGTTCAACCATGTGCCTTTAATTTAATTTAATTTATTAAATGCCAGTTTACAGGCATTGTCAAGGGAAGCGATTAAACATAAATTCGACCAGCAGTGAAAAAAAGCACCTGAAGAATAAAAATATAGTTGATGATGGTTTTTATGGTTTGGAGGGTTCAGGAGAAAAAAAAACTGCTGGCGGTAGATTTTCTACCGTCAAGAAGGGGGGAGGTTGCACGGTATCGGAGATCATCGGACGTCAATTCCTTTCATGAAGTTGGGGATAGTCAAAGAAGAGGCGTTGAGGAACAGCTGGTGAGGCCGGCCATAGTGGTCAGAGACCACTAACGCCATCGCAACGGTAGAGTCGATCAGTGGATTCAGAACCCAAAATTTGAGGAAGCTTTTCTGAATGCAAAAATCGAGTAATAGTTCTCTTAAATAAAGGATAATTTTGCAGAGTTTTCACACTCATGGGTAGGTTATTCCAAATAGCAATTGCATTTACAGAATAGAACCGACGATATTTAACAGTACGTGCCAGAGGCAGAAATAAGATGACCTCACGGTGACTGTTACGTCGTGGGTGGATATGATGTCTTAAAGAGGTGAGCGGGTTAAATGTGTGATTATATAAGAGTTTAAATAGCAAAAATAGTCCCTTTTGTAATCTACGGAATCATAAAGGATCAAGGCCCGTAAGCCGGCAACGTTCTTGGTAAGACAAATGTCGGTGTGCTGGGGTTAAAATTCTCTTGGTAAAAAAGTGTTGAACGGATTCTATTTTCTTCCGCTCAGTAGCACGCATGAGGCTAAATGAAAACGAACAGTATTCCAGACCAGGTCTGACGTACATGTTGTAAAGGCGCATTCTGATGTCCCTAGTTTTAAAGTTTCGGAGGATAAAGCCGGTCGTTCTGCGTGCTTTGGAGACTATCAAAGCACAGTGCTCCGAGAGATTGAGACACTTGGAGTATGATATGCCCAAATCCTTTTTAACCCTAGGCACATTTAAGGAGTTACCTTCAATATTTAGTTGAGGTTAGTGGTCGTCGCCAACCACCATGACTGAGCATTTATGCCAAGAAAGAGAAAGGCGCCATGTGCGGCACCACTGGGCGAAAGCCTGTAGATCGCTCTTTAGGAGCTCAAGCACGATGTCACGATCTGCCGACTTATATCGATATGCAACTTTAAGATCATCGGCATACATGAAAGGCTTACCACTCTGAAATAAATCGGGTACATCATTAACGAAAAGGCAAAACAAAAGCGGGCCGAGTACACTACCCTGAATGACTCCACTCCTCACACGTGTGGGGTTGGAGATGGTATTGGAAATCTTAACTCGTTGTGTACGAGTGCCCAGGTAAGAGGATGTAAAATTTAAAAGTTTGCCACCTATTCCGAAAGAGGACAGTTTCAAGAGAAGAAGAGCATGGTCAACACGATCAAAACCCTTAGTGAAATTGAAATATACAGTGTAAAGTGCAAAACCATTGTCCCTAGATTGGAGAACATAGTCAAAGAAAGGGAGTTGACAGGTGTCACAAAAGTGAGCGGACTCACTCTGTCAGTCTGGCGACTGCGGCGGCGAAAAGAAGGAGGAGAAGAAGAAGAAGAGTGGGCTGGAAGAGGAAGAGAGTGATTGTTGTTGTTGTTTCGGTTTTGGCTGTTTCGACCGCGTGCATTTTGTCTACGGCCACGACCAACCTACAGACAACGTGGTTCTCAGCGATCTTTAGGGCACCTTTTCTAGCCCCTTCCCCCTCGCGAGGGCAGGCAGCGCATCCCTAAATAGGGCTGCTCGGTTATCCCAGACGGCTGCCGGACTCCACTATGGGCCACGAATTTTTGTTAGTGAGAGAACAACCCGAATTAGCCTGGGACCTTGGTGGTGATGGTGGTGAAGTTGTTGAGAGGATACACACAACAGAACGCTATGGGACTTACAGCTAATGTAGACAGGCAGACATAGTCATCAGTCAAGCACAGGAATAACGGGCAACGTTCGGAGTCAGGCACAGCAACACCTACCTATTAGCAGAGAGAGGCATAGACTGACAGATACAGAGCAGGCAGCAGTAGCAACACAAAGCACACAGCACGCTGCTTAAGGAGCCAAGTGAGGAATGGCACCATTCTAAATCAAGCAAACTAACATCTAGCTATTAGCACAGAGAGGCACAGACAAGCAGATACAGAATAAGCAACAAGAGCAGAAACAAGGGCAGACAAGACAGAGCATAAGCAGGCAAGTAAGGTAGCAAAGTAAGTATGAAAACAGACAGGGGTTCTCTTAACTGAGGATTCACTTTCCTGTCGGTCTCCTACAATGACCAAGCCGGAGCTTCATCTCCACGATGTCGATGCGTGGATCCTTCGGCCAGCGTTGACAACAGTGCCGTGTGTGCGGATGTACACACGGATACCCTCGGCTGGTTTAGGCCGCCGGTCGAGGAGGTTGTCCGAGGTGTGGCCGCTGAGCAGAACCCAGCTACGTGGAGCCACATGTGAGAGTTGGGTGCCAGCAAATGGACGCTAGGCGTAGTCTCACCTGCAAGCAAGTGAGCGACCACTACGAACATCACGTGAACCTACCGCTTAGCACCCCTACACCCCACACAAACACACCGTCTCCAGGCTAGCCAGGGCCGCAGACGTCTTATCATGGTCGAAACAATCAAAATCGAAACAACAACAATACCAATAACAACAACAACAACAACAACAACCATACTCATTCTCCTCATCCTACCTCTTCTTCCTCTTCCGCTGACTATTCTTCTACTTCGTCACCTTCTTCTCCATCTCCTTCCCGTCGCAACACTCGTTGTCACCAGACTGTCAGGGTGAGCCCGCTCACTCTGGCAGGCTGGAATGTTTGTTCCCCTTTAGACAATCCGAGGAGCAACCGACCGGAGCGGAGGACGGCGCTAGTGGCACGAGAACTGGCGCGCTACAAAGTGGACATCGCCGCACTCAGCGAGACCCGATTCTCCGAACAAGGCCAACTGGAGGAGGTGGGTGCCGGCTACACCTTCTTCTGGAGCGGTCGACCCAGGGCAGAGCGACGGGACGCGGGTGTCGCCTTCGTCATTCGGAACGACATCGTGGGACAACTGCCCTGTTTGCCGCAGGGCATCAACGATCGCCTGATGAGCCTCCGTCTGCCTCTCCTCCGGGGTAGGGGCAAATTCGCCACCATCAACAGCGCCTACGCTCTGACGATGACCAGCCCCGACGCCGCCGCAAGAGGCAAATTCTACGAGGACCTGCACGCCCTCTTGGTCACTGTGTCGAAGGCGGACAAGTTGATTGTCCTTGGTGACTTCAACGCCCGCGTCGGCACAGACCATACTGCCTGGAGAGGAGTGCTGGGTCTCCACGGTCTCCGCGGCTCCAACGACAACGGTCTGCTGCTCCTCCGCACCTGCGCAGAACACCGCCTCATCCTGACGAACACCTTCTTCTGTCTACCGGAGCGAGAGAAGGCCACCCGGAGGCATTCTCGGTCGCGTCAGTGGCACCTGCTGGACTACGTCCTCGTCCGGAGGCGAGATCTGCAGGACGTGCTGGTGATGAAGGCGATCGCGGGTGCTGACGGGTGGACCGACCATCGCGTCATCATCTCGAAGATGCGTATTCGCCTACAGCCTCGCAGGAGACCACAAGGTAAGCGACCCCCAGGTAAGCTGAATGTTGCCTTGTTGTCTTTGCCCGCTCACCATCTTCATTTCAGCAATGAGCTAGCTCAACGGCTAGACAACTTTCCTATCGCTGCCGACGCCGCCGCTGCCGAGAACGCCTCCGTGGAGAACCGCTGGTACCAACTGCGCTCGCCGTCCTCGGTCGCGCTCCCCGCCAACACCGGGACTGGTTCGACGACAACGACGCTGCCATCGGAAATCTGCTAGCTGAGAAGAACCGCCTACACAAAGCCTACACACACACGGCAGTTCTACCATCGATTTCGATAATGTCCACCGTTTGCCCCACAGACTGCATTGCGGTAGCAGGTACTGTGACTTGCGCAGGGGTTTATAATGCCAGTAGACTTGCGTAGCATCTACCTGCACTCTCTCCTCCTCCCCCGCCTGAGTCCGGTGTCAAGACCAAGTCAAGAAGACCGATGACGGAGGAGGCCCCAGGTGGATGGCTCTGACGGATCTTCACCTTGGCGCTCCACTCCGCACCTCCCGGTCCACACACAAATTACCAGGATTTTGACCACAAAACAATGGGGTGATGGCAGTGGTCCAGTTGTGCGAAGATTGACGGCAACAGGGCCTGCCAGCGCACCCCGCAAGTGCTGGCATTTGTTATTGCGCACAGATAACGCCTGTCAGTGTAAGATGTGGCCCCCGTGTTGGTCCAGCGCATCTAACACGGGGTCCGTTTGGAGGACACACACACGACAGTTCGACAGTCGTCGTCGACGACGCCCACTGTGTGCTGCACAAAGTAGAGCAGGGACGGAGACTTGTGCGTGACTTATTTT